ATAATTTTCGTTGTATTATCACATGACGAAGTGAAAATACGGTTAAAAAGGTGGCATATGGAATCTTCCATATGTGACACAATGGTTCTAATGACGTGTAACACCATATTAACTTTTACTGTTAGAAAACCTAATAAAAAGATTGATATTTATTGTAAATAAAAAAAAGTTTTGATATTACCACACGGAAGAAATGAAGAGCCGAATAATTTAAATAAAGAATACAAGACCAATATTCGAAGATTCCACAGATAATGTATAAAAAGTTTTTTCTAAAATTAAATGTAGCAAATCAAAATTTTTTATAAAAGTCCATTTATGGTTAAAGCTCATTAAATTTTTCCGGTGGTTACAAATAAACGATCATTTCAGATGATGATTTTCATGTTCTTAACCTGAAAAGAAAAGATTATCTCCAAATGTTTTGACCACTAGAATCTTGGAGAATGCATTGGAAGTTCAATACGCCCTTCTTTTTCTTTTTTTAAACTTAATTTAAATTTATTTTCATTGAATATTCAATAATAATCAGAAAGTTATTCAATGCTCTACTTAAACAATAATAGCAGCCGAGAACCCTAACTTGGATTAAAATGGTAAAGAATTAAAGTTTTGTTATACATCAAATTGCGATTGTTCACCGACGCGGATGCATTCTTTGCTAAATGATTAACTAAATTTGGAATTTCTTTCAGAATGCCGAAAAATGAAGACCCCTTAAGTTTGATTCAATCATTTATTGTTTAACGGCACTGGAAACTATTACACAGATATAAGTTCTCATATCGAACTTGGCTAAAATTTATCATGCGCTAACAAATTATTTCATTATAAAAAGGTATACTTCCGATTTTTGTTCACCTCTTCAACGCTTGCAGAAAATATTTGTTTTTTTAATACCATCCAATTAAACATTCTCTAAAAAATGTCTTTGATTATCCAAAGAGAAAAAGCATATGGTAAATTTGCTGTTTTATAGTTCTTTTCTATGTAATTAATTTGGCCTTATAATTTGTTTATATTTTTATGATTAGATCAAGAAATTGTCAGATTCATCGCTCGATGCGTTGAGAAACGCAAAAGGCCGTATGGGGCATTACATCTCCAACAGTTAAAAATTTTACTTCATTTAAGATTCGGAAAAATTTTACCAACTAATCAAATTATGAATATTATTATAAACTTGCCTCCTCCACTTCCGATAATTCAACTTTGGAGATCACCTCTCCTATTTCTCCGGACACCACCCGGGTTTTAAAATGAAAATTATATATTTTTTTAATCATTTCATTTACATAATCAGTTTGTTTTTATTCTTTATTATTTTCTTTTATGATTTGTATAATCTTAAGAAAAAAAAATACACAAAAAAGGATTATATATTTTGGAAAATATACTACCGAAAATGTGGTAAATAATTTAGATGTAATATAAATTTATTGATTAGACAGTTAACACATAAAATAAAGTTAATTTGCTAAGTCTTCAAACCATGGTAACTTATTATATGTCGGATGATTATTTTATATTAATTATGTCATTCATTTCAACAAATTCCTAAATTTCAACTATCTTTCATTTTCAATGTCTGAATTCGTTGGTTTTTTTTGTATGAGAATAAGAAAGCTTATGTCATCAAAGTATTTTTTATTAGACTATTTTACACGAAAGTTTATTTATATGTTAAAAACTGTCAAATTTACAAATTGAAATCGTAAATTGAAAATGGTCGAAACTTCCACAAAACGCTTCAACTTTTTCCAAAAATAATATTAGGGTTGTGGATGCAACCTTATTCTTAAGTTATCATCCTTTTTAATTATAATTATAAAGAAATATTTCATAAAAAATTTAGCTGATAATTCAAATCATGGAGAATTACTTTTTTGCCCAACTATTCCTCACTTCAAATTAAAAACAATAGTCCATTTTCACAAAATTTTATACAAAAATAACGCCTTAATTCTTCCTTATTGAGATAATAATCAATAGGTCGAAATGATGATACTTTAGATCCAGCAATTGAAGAAATTATGGGCTTGGGCGCAGTTATTGATGTTTATCTTTTTTGATAATATTTTCATAACATAGTACAATTTTACCTTATCAAAAAATCTGGATCCTTGTCTAAAATAAAATTTGCATTAATTAGTACTAGTTATTAAAAGTTTAATAACACTACATTAAAATATAAAATCTTACTTTCGTAATTCTGGACAGTATTGGTTAATATTAACAGGTTCCATTATTCTAATTTCTCTAAAGTTTTATAAGGTTTCGAAACACTAATAATTTCAGGTTTCGCAATATGGGAGCTGATCTATTAAAAGTGGGTTACGAGACATAGTAAATCATATGATCCGTACCTCAGTTTTAATAGAATACTATCCATATATTTATATTCTAATTTCTATTTATCATGCTTTTCCTTCATCAATTAATGAATTTTGATTTTATGCAGTTATAATTCTGTGATTAATTAAGACTTTAGAAGAGAAGATTAGTAGCATAGAGTAGCAAAGGTTCTTTAAAGCAAGCAAATATGCGTTTTCCCATCATAGCAATTAAATATAATTCATCAAAATCTTATAATGATTCTGCAATTGTACTGAATTAAATGGTCTTCTTGATTATTTATACTTCTCAGGGTGGGCTTTATCAAAAAAGCCGGAATTAAATCTATTTATAATATAAAAACTCCACTTAATGTAAGAGCATAAAAAAAAATTTGCAATTAATACATACTCAAACCCAAAAGAGTTTTAAAATAAAAGCAAAATCAAGCCAATAAATAGTAACTATCTTGAAACATTTTTTTCAAATAATTCCAAAGATATAGTAATCTTAAATCACAAAATTTCACAAAGCTTGCATAGAACCTTCCATCACAAAAAAATGGGCATAATTACCTTATAATCCTTACGTAAGTTTTCTTTTTTTATTACCCTTTTTTAGACAATTTCTCGATACTTTCCATTTAGTAATTTTTTTTTTGTGTTTTTCACTTTATTTAGCTGATTGCTTCAGGGCCTTTTCTTTAAATTCCTCTTTGGATTAGATAGTTAACGCAAGTACCAGTTAATACCAGATAAAATACGAGATATTTTGTTTTATAGATTGCTTCAGAACACATAACAATTTCAATTTTATTGCGCTCATTTATTTTCTCTGAGTTCCTTTGGATCAATGTTAAAGATAAAGAATAAAATAAAATCTATAATAATTGATGCAGTTAAAATAAAAAAACTTGCATATGCTGCATCTAACCCAAAAGATTCGAAATAAAACATAGGAAATAATTTAATGAAATAATCAAGAATAAATTTAAGTATTATTTTTTTACTTAGTTTTGGTCTTCATTTTATATCTATAATTTAGTTTTGATCGACTTTTTTCCTTTGGCTTTTCAGAAAGATTAGATGCATCCCTGATTTATAATTTTATGCAATCTGCGACATGGACCTTTGAATTACTCCTCCATATTTTTTCTTATCATTATATAATGAACACCAAATTGACAGAATTGAATCACAAATTTAAATATTTGCTTAATCACAATTAAATAATTTTAGCAATATCATTAACTTTCTAAAAAATTAAGTGATTAATAAACAAATCTGAGTATAATTTATTTAAAAAACTTTTATATAATCATCTGAACATATGGGTGGTATGCTATTAAAATTGAGGTACGAGACATATAAATCATATGATCCGTACCTCAATTTTAATAGATCACCACCCATACCATATTGTAAATTTCTAAATGTATACTCTAAATTAATACTGCGAGAAATGTAATTTCAACAATATTAATAACCGATAAATGATTATCTATGTAGAAAAGAATCGTAATATGTTAATGTAATTAACTAATATGAGTAAAAATCTTTATAAATTTTTTCTCTTGTGACAAATTTTAAATGTAAAATAATACCGGAAATATCAAAATATTATTAATATAAAATCGGTATTAGTTTATATTTAAATATTTACATATTTCATATTTCATTAAATTACCTTTTATTTGTAATGAGCTAGGAAATTTCTAATTCATGTAATTGAGAATCTTGAAATATTAAAATGCATTAGAGTTAGTTATTTATATTTTTAATATCGAAAATAAAAATAAAGTGTAGATAATACCTTCATTATTTTCATCCTTTTCAAGATATGAAGTAATAAGTGACGAATTAATAGGTTTTGTCAAATT